CCAGAACTAAGTGCTCATGTAAGTTTTATGTTTGAAAAATAGTCCAAATATATCTCTAGAATGCAAACTCACTAAGATGCCATTGGAAAGGCACAAATTGTCAAGATCTATTAATTCTAATGTTTATCCACCCGGTATTATAAATGTCATACATACCCACCCTGTTGTCCAAAACTAAGAAATCAGCTGTGTTTCTGGCAGACAGAAGGGAAGATGAAGAATTGGGTGGACAGGGTGGATGGATAAGAATTCAGATTGGTTGGATCTACTGTGGTTTGTTAGAATCTCCTACCCAACAACCAGAACTGAGGGGGGGGGGAAAAGAAATAAAATTCAAAACATATTGAGTGTATTCTGAGCTCAAAAGTGTTTCTTCAATACCAAAATGTAACCAAGGTCCAATCATTCCATACACAAATCAATTCCTGTTTTATTTCATGAGCTTTCTTCATTTCCATTGTATAATTTGGTGAGGAAAGAGATTTGATTGTTAAAACAGTAATAGGAATGTGATAACAGAGGGGGGGAATCCTTTCTTAAATGGATACATGCTTATTTATAATAGATAAATAGAGTCTTGGGGTGGGGGACAACTTTGTGAAGACTTACATGGGCAACCAAAGAAAAACTCTATATTATCATAGCTAGGTCAATATTTCCATATATTCACAGACTTCTGTGCTGCTGGTTTACAGTACTAGGAAAGTATACCTCGATGAAAGCTTATACAGCATCAAATATGCTTAACCACGCCATAGCTGTCAATCCTCCACATTTCATAAGCATATTACGCTTTAGTAGCAAAAGGAAAAGGTTTGTGTGTGTGTGTGTGTGTGTAGGTTCATTGCTGCTCCAAAACAAACACTGGTATAGCAAGATGGTTTAACAAACATTACTTCACTTTTGTGAAAATGGACACCAATGAAAGAAATAAAAAGAATGGAGAGGGGAAATTACCACACTATTCTTCGTGAGATGCATAGAGGAAAGGGTAGCATTATTTTCTGAGGACCAACATATAATTGCAGTTTAAGATAGTGCTAGTTTCGGCCATTTCAATATTTAAACTGAGCTCAGACCTCTCTAATATCCTGTTCTGCATAATTCCTAGATTCCTCTGTCATTCCTATTTCTCAGACTAAAAGTATTGCAGGCTTGGAATTGTATGGACTCTATTCGCATCCAACTGGAAGGCCAGAAAGAGAGATATTGTTCTGTCACAGAGTCAATATAGTTATTATTACTGACACTTTCATGGCGTTTTCGTCTTGCTTCAAGCAGACTGTAGACTCTCTTTGCACTCAAGGACGGTTTCCAGCCAGTCTTCAGAATCCTACCACAAGACCAGAGATTCAAATTCCTTCTTAGAAAGAACAAGTGCCACAGAAGTCATCTGAGACATAATTTCTCTTGTAAACAGATACTTTCATTGACATTACATTCATGATCTCTCTTGCTGTATATGATCTTATGATGTTCAGACCAGCTCCTATCTGTGTTTTTAATTATTATTTAATCTGATTATAAATATTTTGTTGTGAAAATGATTAATTTCAATAAGAAAATAATATTCATTTCTGTATGAGTTGATATTTACTTCCTATGAAAGCTGTGTGTGTGTGTGTATGTGTGTGTGTGTGTGTATATATATATATATATATATATATATATATATATATATATATATATATATATATATATATATATATATATATATATATATATATATATATGTAGGATAATGGTGACACCCTGTGGTTGGAATAAACTACGACATAGTTTTGTCTCATTTCCTAGGACAGTGATGGCGAACCTTTTAGAGACTGAGTGCCCAAACTGCAACCCCAAACCCACTTATGCGTTGTCGGGTGCCGGGTGGGTGTGGCCCATTGGATGGGTGTGGTCAATTGGGTGGGTGTGGCCCATTGGGTGGGCAGACTGGGTGGGACTAAAAAGTTCAATCAATCAATTCCAACTTTGCAAGATCTTTTTTTTCCCACGAGAAGTTGAAATTGACTCATTGATTGAACTTTTTTTTTTTTTTTGCACACGGCGGCGGAGGTTTAAAGCGAAAAGGTTTTATAAAACCCAGCTGAAGGCCTAGGACTGGGGCGACGGCGCGTGTGCCCACAGAGAGGGCTCTGAGTGCCGCCTCTGGCACCTGTGCCATAGGTTCGCCACCACTGTCCTAGGATTTCATATTCAGCCCAGGAAGAGGGTGTTATTGATAGAGATTTCAGTGGTAAATTGCCCCAATTGACCTCAGAGGATTCCACCCACCAGAAATTTCTCCTATGCAAGCCCCACTGAAATAGGTTGGGGCTGATTTCTGAAATGCACGAATAGTTGTCCAAAACCAGTGGGATTCCTTGAATCACTGGGCAAATCAGAATTTCATACAAGTACACATGCTCATATACTATACTATATTTGCAGATGTTTCTATCATTGATAGAACAACACCCATATCTGGGCATTGTAGCATAATTCCTCCTTCAATTCTATTCCCTTGTACATTTCCTAAGCCAATTCTGGACATCTAGGGATTGGTATGATTCTTTGTGCCATGCATGAAATGATAACAGAGGACCAGGGGCAGTGGGGGGTTGGGGCAAGGAAACCACCAAACTCAGAGAGCATCAAGGACCCCATAGAAAAGTAAAGGGAAATCTAACCTCAAATGGATGTCTGTTCATGTAAAATGTTAGATGCTGATTTCTCTCTCCTTCTGCATCGACAGTGTCAAATTTCCAGATGTCTGAGAACTTTTTGCAAAAGATTTTATCAGCATGACCACCTCAGATGATTACTTTTAGGAGGAATTCTGCTTGTCCTCTTCTCAGCTTGGTCTTTTCTGAGATCACTTCTCCCTAATGCAATGTTATGATCCACTTTTGTTCTACAAGCTGCTTCAGGGCAATCCCTTCTGATAGTGTCACATTAAGGCAGAGAAAAAATACACAGTATTTAGTAGCCAGAATCACTGAGTGCCCTTCCTTCCAGACACATTTTTTCCACAATATGACAAATATTATTCTTTAAATATAGTATACTGTGGGGGTCTGCAAAGCACTTCTACACCATAAGGTACAACATAAATTTAGCCTCTTTAAAAAAATTTCCTGAAAAATTGCAATTATCTCTGTTGGGAAGAATATCTGTGGAAATGACTGTATTCCCTAGAATGTTGTTCTTATTTCAGACACTACCTGTTTTGAGAACTGAAACAGTGGCAAAAAGATATATCTAGATTTATATAGCAGAGGAAGAAACCAAAGGTTAAATAAATACAGGATTCTCCAGGAAAAGAAAGTAGATAATTGTGATTATCTGATTTAAATTGTATTTTGCTGCCTGGTGTTTGGTTTGGATGAAAGAATGGCTTTTGTTAAGAAATTAAAACTCTTAGAATTATAAGATCATAAGATTTGCAGGTTTGTAAATCTTTCTGCTACCTAAAAGAATTAGTCTTCTCTATTTGCCAAGTTTTTGAAATCATAAGATTGTTATCATTGTTGGACCTTGGAAAAATCTAAACAGGATCTATTTCCTATGAGAAGCTGTTTGTTCTTTGTATTTAATCACAAAATCTTATTGTAAAAGTTTCAATATTCCAGTTTTTATCTGACATATTCTGTTTACAACTTTCTAAGATCAAAATCTTATTTGCCTTTTTGCTGTTGGTTTCAGATTCTTTAAATTCCTAAGCTTATGACTGAAGATTTCTTTCACTCAGGATTGAAGGCAGACTCATCTGGTGTTTTCAGACCTGTTGGTGTCAAGCTATCTAATAGTAGTTAATGAGTAATTTCTGAAGTGATTGGAAAATGAGGCTTATGAACTTAAGTGTTTTTAAAGACTCAACCATTATGTGAGCAAGATGGCTGATCCCGTTGTCTCCAGGTGCTCAAACCTGCAGAAAACCACTGTCTGGGGTCTCCTTGCACCGAACAGTCACCCAAGCGCGTGTGGGCAATCTCCCAACATCTCCTTATCTGGAGAGGTTCCAAGGAACAGGTCTTCCCACTGGCTCTGTGGCTTCTGCTTTTGTAGCGCTGTCTTCAGTTTTCCATGACTTCCCCAGAGGATTCAAGGATGATTTCCACTGAATGGATATATAAATATTCTTGAGACAGAGAGATGGGGTTCGTTTATTATCCATTCCTCAGCTGATGCTCATAATACTTTGTGCATGAAACAGGGTTCCTACCCTACTTTTTTCTAAAACTATGAATGTTAAGATTTGTCTACTTGCCTACAATAAGTAGGCAATTTATTTAATATATTTTTTTGCCAAAGAGGAAAATTAAGAGAGGGAAAGGGTGTAATTTATCGGAATGATCATAAACATTTCTGTATTGCATGTTATGTTCAGTCATTACTCAAAACTCAAAGAAAGGCATTTAGTACATGTTCTGTAACAGTAATGTACTGTAATATCAAACGCACTGTGGTTGAGTCTCGGTGAGAGAGGATGCAGGAATAATCGCAGTATTCTTCACTGGGAATAGGGGTCGAGGGAGAATCCAGGGACTCCTGCTTTGGAAATCGAGCTTATTATTAAAAGTCTAAGGTTTGATCAGCTTTCCTCCGCAACAACCGTGGGGCTTTTTTCCCCCCGAAAAAGCCGGGTTTTTTACCCCGCCAAATGCCTTATACGTCACCTGCACAGCGACCAGACGTGGAGGGAGATCCACCGGCCGCGCGGCGAACGAGAAGACAACAAATGCTTTTCCCACAAGGACCCAGAGGGAGGGGCTGGGCCCTAGGCTCCGCCCCTTCCCGAGATCCAGAGGGGCTGGGCCTTTCCCGAGATCCAATCAGAAGAGCGGTGCTTCTTGCTTTCTTCCTTCCTCCCTCGTTTCCTTTGCCCGAGGGGAGGGAGGTTTGTAGCCAGAGGGAAACGCTGCTCCTCTGGCGTGAGAAGATTCCAGGCGTCTCTTTGGGGACGTCGCGCGTCCTTTGAAGAAAAGCGAGCGCGGCTGCGGCGCGTAAACCTTTCCCCAGCCGGGCGCGGGAGCGAGTTTTGAAAAAGGCCGGGAGAAGCAAGTGAACGAGAAGGGCCTCCGGGGGCAGCAGGTCCAGGGACTATGGGCTGCAGCCGGGAGCTGAGTGTCCTCCTGTTGCTGCCCGCTTTGTTATCCTGGAGCTCGGCGGAGAAGCTCGGTGAGTCGGCCCGCCTGCTAGGCTGCAATGTTGGGATTGGAAGGTGGAGTGGAGCGAGGAGCGGGGAGGTGGGGGGTGAGAGCCTGGAGGTGGATGGACCGCCCGCGCAGAGGCACGATTCTTACGTGCTGATTCTGTGGACCGAGCGGACGAGCCCTTTGCATGCCAGATTTTCTTCCCTTTCGGGCGAAGCTCTTTTACACCCGGTGGTCGTAAGAGTGCTAGAGGTTTCTAGAAGGGTTTGCAACCTTCAGCTTGCTTTTATCTCGATGCATCTTCGAAAACCTTGGAATTAAAACGGCTGGGCTGTCTTGGTAAACAGACTTCTCTTTAAAAACCTGGAATCAAGGCGCAACCAAAGGCTAGAAGTTGTTGATTGAAATAATCTGCCAGAGTTAGGATTTGTGGTGTTCCAATACTGTCTGTAGTTTTTATCCTGTAGTTCTTTTTACCTGCTTTCAACTTCAGCGTTTGTTTAAAAAAAACAAAAAAACAACAACCCTGAGTTGTGTCTATTCTGCAAATGGATATAACTGGGCCGGTAAAGTTCCTGATCCACTCTTTGACCTTAAGCATTCTGCAAGTAGAGGTGTTTTTTTCTTTTAAAGAACCTTGGATTCTTGAATGTAATATAGAGGGCACTTCTGGCATGTAAAATCTGGATCCTTCATTACTAACATCTTGTTTGCAGGCTATCTTGGTATGTTAGAGATGGGCACATGTATTGCTCAGAAGTGAGGTAGCCATATTGAGAGCTGTGGGGTTGTCCTGCCTAATAAATTCCTACCTTTTCACATGGAGTAGAAAAATCAAAATCAGGATTCAGTTTCTAGTTTTAGAAGACCTGCACAGTCACGGAAAGGGTAGAGATTCCACCTGATTGCAAAAAGAGACCTGCACAGCTGCAATCTCTTTTCCATCCTTTCCGAGCAATGTGGAGAAAGTTGTGAGTGGAATGAATGGAGTTAGCACATTCACATTTATGAATGCCTGAATAAGGCTGTGGGCCATGCTGGGATAAGATTCTGATGGGTCTCACTCCAACATGTGTACCTAAGGCTTGATAAATGTTGTGTTGAAATGTAATATTACACTGATAATATTAACATTGGTTAATTCAAGTACACGTTACCAAACGCCTTTTTATCCTGTAGAAGCTGGGTCTTGTATCAGAAAAAATTCATCTGCAAATCCCGGAAATCACACTTAATCTTTAAAAAATAATGGTGTGCGAAATGTATCTTTTTAAGGTGTTTGGAATTTAAGTCCTCTAGCATACCTTTCAGGTTTTCTCTGCAATATTAAATCTCAGAGTGATTGTGGACCTGTTTTAAGCAACATGATTTACGATTACCAATTCCTCAAGCAATGGGTGATCATATTCTTTTTATAGCTGCTTGCTTTTCAACTTCAAACTAGTTTTTCTATAGCATAGTCTCAAAAAGAAACCCCGCTGTGTAGTAGGATGTACCCTTGATTTGCTTTCTTTTTAAAGGAATAAATCCTTCAGTATTTATAGATAAGTTCTTCAGGTGAACTTTGCTTATTTGTAACCTTGTGGGAATTTCAGCTATCAGAACAACCAGTTGTAACTGAGAAATAGATAATGGGTGTATACATGTTAGCACATGCAAATAGTTCCTTTAAAATTATACTGTGGAAATGCAGTGTTCTAAAGTTGCTGACTTTTTGACATACAGTATGGTTCTTATTTCCTCTGAAGTTTTAAACTTCCACAATTTTAGAGGGAAGACTGCTTTAATACAGTATTCTGTTAATTAAGAAGAGTAAAAATACCCAGTTGCTGCAGTTAAACAAAAATATTGAAGGACATGAGTAGATCTTGCAGATGATGGCCAAATACAGCAGTGGTTCTCAATCTTTTCTTTCCCATGGACTCCCTGTAGCCACGGACCGTAGTGACAAACCCCCAAGGCTTAACTCAAGATTTAAATCATAACATTTCTTCAAGCCTTCGTGGACCCTCTTGGATGACATTGTGCCCCTCCAAGGGTCTGCGGACCACAGGTTGACAACCACTGCTCTACAGCAATTTAAAAGGGGAGAGATTCCTTCTTTTGAACTTTGGTTTGTCTAATAAGCTAGAAAACATGGCTTTGCAAATAGAACCTTGAGTTATACTGTATTAGTTGATTTGAGTGCTTTATATTGTTTGACCCTGTTAATTCATGACAGCTTTATCTGTTTATCTAGTTATAAGATTGTAAAAGAACTACTTTGGGGGGAAAGGGGAAAAATACAAAATCCATAGTTTGGTCAACACATTCATTAGAATTTATTACTGTAGTTTTCTAAAACAAAAGGCGGTGGTGGAGAATAGTAAGGTTCCAAATTCTCAAGAAGATAATACACAAAATAGGAGATAGGAAAAAAATGTGTTTAAGGAAATAGGACAACATTTTTGATAAAGAAGCCTGCAATTTAAATGCAGAATTTTGCAAATTGCATTAGTCACTGAGTATTGCAAGTATCAGATTGTATCTAGTGCAGTAAAGAAGTAATACATACAGTTTCTTAAAACCCTTGAAGATCAGCTATATCTTAGACCTGTCTTTTACTTTGGGCAAAACTAACATTAATAAAAAATATTTTATTTGTTATACCTTTTAAAAAGCCCAAGAATGAGCGCTGAGAGATCAGTTGTTTCAAACTCATATTTGCAATGAGTTTAGTAGGTAATTGTAGGCTAATCAGTGCTTGTATCTCAGCTTCTTCCCCATCAGCATTACAATACAAAACTGCCCATCATACGGGATTGTTATAAAGAGTAAGTCAGATAATGTGACAGTATACCTTGTATTAAAAATAGATAACTGCCAACCTTTTTCTGATGTGTGACTTGAACTAAAATGGAGGATAGGCTGATGAGCAAAGATTCTCTCTTATTGTTTGTGCATATTATGTAAAACAGTAGTCAAGGAGAGTTAACCGTTAGCCAGTAAAACAGAACAACATAAAATCATAGAATTCAAGAGTTGACAGGGACCCTGAGCATCATCAAGTCCAATTCTCTTCAGTGTGCAGAAAAATGAATTAAGTCATCCATGAGAGGCGTCCAGCCTCTTCTTAAAAAAAACAACAGATGGTCGACCCACAACTATTCCACTGTTATACAGGTGGTCCTCGACTTGCAACAGTTCATTTAGTGAGTGTTCAAAGTTAACAGCATTGAAAAAAGTGACTTTTGACCAGTTTTTACACTTACAACCATTCTAGCATTACCCACGGTCATGTGATCAAAATTTAGATACTTGGTAATTAATGGTTGCAGTATCCCAGGGTGGTTACGTGGTCCCCTTTTACGACCTTCTGACAAGCAAAGTCAGTGGAGAAACCAGATTCACTTAACAGTTTGACTAACTTAACTGTAGTGATTCATTTAATAACTCTGGCAAGAAGCATCGCAAAATGGGGCAAACTCAATTAACAAATGTTTCACTTAGCAACAGAAATTTTGGGCTCAATTGTGTCATAAGTTGAGGACTACCGCAGGTTATATGTTATACAGTATGATCTATTTCTAAGGTTTGTCAGCAAGGATTTAATGCACAATGGTTGATTAGTATACTAATTATGTTTGTTTCATAATTATCTGTAATTTAGAAAATTATTCTTGTCGTTTTTTTTATTATTATTCTTACAAGGAGTAGAAGGCAAGCCACTGTAGGAATCCAACCAGGGTGAGAATTAACATTTTAACTTTAAGTGATCCTTCTTGAATTTCAAATATGTTAAGAACTGCTTCAGGTTCTTCTGTCTTACTGTGGCTGAATGCTTTTAGAAAAAGTAAAAATGGTGCAGTGTGTCGTATTATCTTGGGTAGAATCCCAAAAATAAAATTTAAGAAAAATATCCTTATCATTGCTTTACTGGAGATATAGCTGAAAAGATTACATTTTAGCTTGTAAAACTTAATAAGATGATGATTGGGTTCACATATTGCACTAAGACAGGCATGTCAAACTGCCAGCCCACAGGCCAGATGCATCACACCGAAACCGCACCCACCCCATTGCTGGCAATGGGGGAAAAGTCATGATACGTCACGCGATGTCACAAGACGTCACGAGTTTGACATGCCTGCACTAACACACAATTTGTTTAACCCATCACTTGTTAAATATAGTTAGTTGGATTTTTCTAATATGCTAAAGCGGCTAAACCATAAACCTTTGTTTGCAAACTGTGGTTGTTGTACAAGATAGGAAGCCAAAATATGGCATAAGAGCCATGGTGGCACGGTGATTAGAATGCAGTATTGCAGGCTAATTCTGCCCACAGCCAGGGGTTTGATCCTGATCGGTTCAAGATTGACTCAGCCGTCCATCCTTCCAAGGTTGGTAAAATGAGGACCCAGATTGTTGTGGGCAATATGCTGACCTGGTAAACTGTTTAGATAGGGCTGTAAAGCACTGTGAAGTGGTATATAACTCTATTCACTATTGCAATGTGTGCTTATTTTTTTCAAATTGTGCTGTATGAGTCAAATAACCTTTTTTCAAAAGCCTTAGTATTCAGCTGGGTAAGAAAAAAGAGAACTCCAGACAAGCAGACAATGCCAATTTTTATCCAATGCATCCTTTAGAACCAGCCATATTACCATGGGATGTGACTATCAAGAGACTACTCCTGCAAGAATATAACCGTTGGTCAAATAGAGATTGTTACCTCCTGATATCGGATTGTTTGGGATATACCAGTGGTGGCGAACCTATGGCACGGGTGCCAGAGGCGGCACTCAGAGCCCTCTATGTGGGCACGCGCGTCATCGCCCCAGTCCTAGGCCTTCAGCTGGGTTTTATAAAACCTTTTCGCTTTAGGCCTCCGCCACCGTGTGCAACAACAACAACAAAAAAGGTTCAATCAATCAGTCAATTTCAACTTCTCGTGGGGAAAAAAAGATCTTGGCAAAGTTGGAATTGATTGGTTGAACTTTTTAGTTCAGCCACGCCCACCCAATGGGCCACATCCACCCGGCACCCAACGATGCATAAGTGGGTTTTGGGTTGCAGTTTGGGGCACTCGGTCTCTAAAAGGTTCACCATCACTGGGATATACAGCCCTGGTGTGCTAAACCATAGCCTGGTGTGCTAAACCATAGTTTAACAAGTTAGAAGAAGAAAGCAGGTCTTTCCTCTTTTCTTTTGCATGTTAATCTTGAAAATACAATTCTCTGTTTTATAACTGAAATAGAGAATTGTGGTTCAATATGACTTCACCTGAGATGTTATGACACCTATGTGGAACACAAAGTGGAATGAACAATTTGCCTGAAATTAAATATGTTTCAATACAGTAGATTTAACTCTATGACAGCTGTATATACTGTAGAACAGTGATGGCGAACCTTTTAGAGACTGAGTGCCCAAACTGCAATCCAAAACCCACTTATGCATCGTCGTGTGCCGGGTGGGTGTGGCCCATTGGCCGTGCGTGGCTGCGGTGGTAATGGCAGACTGGGTGGGACTAAAAAGTTCAATCAATTCCAACTTTGCAAGATCTTTTTTTTTCCTGCGAGAAAATTGACTGATTGAACCTTTTTTTTTTTGTTGCACATGGCGGAGGCCTAAAGTGAAAAGGTTTTATAAAACCCAGCTGAAGGACTGGGGCGACGGCGCGTGTGCCCACAGAGAGGGCTCTGAGTGCCGCCTCTGGCACCTGGGCCATAGGTTCTCCACCAATGCTGTAGAACAGTGGTTCTCAACCTTTTTAATGCTGCGACCCCAACCGGTCGTAAGTCGAGGACTAAACCAGTCGTAAGTCGAGGACTAAACCAGTCGTAAGTTGAGGACTACCCAACCGGTCGTAAGTCGAGGACTTTCCCTGCCCGGGAGTGCCGCGCATGCGTGGTTCCGCCGCCTGCGCCGGCCGAGGCGTAGCTGGCAAGCGGCAGAGACGGAGCAGGCCGACCACCAGCTGGCCCAGCCCAAGGGAGGTAAGGCACCCACCGGAAAAGGGGAAAAAATGGCGGACAAAAAAAATGGTGGACAGCCTTGCTTGGCGGCCCCCGTGAAATGGTCAATCGACCCCAAATGGGGTCCTGACGCACAGGTTGAGAACCACTGCTGTAGAATATACACAAGAACATTGTTCCATCAAATAATTCCCATCACTTTCCTGTGAAACGCAGTAAGCAATTATTGTAAAAACTGGTTTCATAATTATTTTGGAAGCAAGCAAAAGTGCTTGTTGGAAATCTCTGGTCTACTTAGTTTGGGCAGATGTTCCTTCCCTTTCTGCTCTGGATAAAATTCAGACAAGAACTATTAATTCTATTTAACACTGCTGTGCTGTGAAAAGAAAATGGGAGAGAGGTTCCATCTAAGGAACAAAGAGAAGAGTTAAGCCAGAAACAATGCCATTCCTACTATTTCTTTCTCAAGAAAGAAAACTGGAGCTGTTTTCTGGGGGGGGGGGAATCTGCTTGAGAATTTAACCCCTTTTAGCTTAGCTAATATGGAAGCCAAACATGCTTCTCAACTGAAAAACTAGAGATGCATTCAAGCTTCAGTAAACTACGCCCACTTCCTATGAAATGCTGAAAATCTTCTTTTCTGTCATTCCATTCATTGAAGAAGACAAAGCGCACAAATTCCTTGACATTAACAAGTGGGTGTTACACCTGTACAAATCAGAGCATTCAAAAGTCTTGTGACTTCTTAAAGACTGATCAGTTTAATATAATATGAACTTTAGTAGATCACTGTCCAATTTAAATGATACTCAAGTGTTTTCAGTTGAAGAAATGAGATTTAGTGAATAAATTCTGTTCTCATCTGGATCTTTTCTCAAAGCCAGGAATTGGTGGCAGCTGCTTGAAGGCATGACTGCTTTGAGGCTCTCCCAAGCTCTGGATGTGGATGTGCCTGGCTAGGAAACACTTCCACCAGAGCCGAGGAGAATATCTTTGGGGCATGCATGTGTCTGTCCAGCAGGCCTTAAAGCAACTCTGCCTATCTTTTAATCAGCTGTGGCTGCTTTCACATATTTCAGCAGCACTGCATTTGAAAACGGGTGGGGGGGGAGCTATGTTTCTTGTTTGCCAGAGGAATCTTGATTTTCCTTTAATGTAAACTAGCAAACTGTGGATTGTATATCTATATAGCGGTAGTAATAACTTGCAAGCTCTCTCCCACTGCTACCTCTGCCCAGAATAGCAACATTTTAGGTCATATCTTCCAAACATATTTGAAATTTTGAGGAGTTAGATAGACAACAGAAGGGTAAGGTTGTTCCCCATCATTCTCTCAAGTTTCTCATCATGCTTTCTAGCATCTCAGTGTAACTTGTCTTTTTTTCTAGGCTTCTGGGCACATTATTAAACAGAACACCACGCTGTAGTCACCACCATTTTATTTTCCAAGAATACTCTGAAGTGTTCATGAGGACCATCAGCATTGATAGAAAGATAGATCCTATACTTCCATGTGGGAAGCACCGAAGCGTTTCCATGGTGAAAGGATCAGCTAGTGACATCACCGTTGCCTGGGAGTTGGTGGCTCCTTTTATGTCCCCATTAATGTGCCCACTGAAGTGGTACCTATTTATCTACTCGCATTTACACATTTTCGAACTGCTAGGTCGGCAGGAGCTGGAGCAAATGACAGGAGCTCACCCTGTCACATAGCAGTTTTGATTAAAATAGATGTTGTAAATCTGTCATAATGCATTGATAGATTGAGCTGTGAAGAACATGCAGTGTAGGAGACTGGACTTTCTATAACAGGTCATGCTTGCTGGCATCCATTTTTCTATATACAATAGTTCCTTGCTCTATACCTGTTTTTAATTTGCTTTAAATAATACATTATTTTGTGCTTTGTAGTCTTTTGCGCCAAGAGATTTGTCAATAAATGCCACGGGATGGGTTAAAATATTCCATTAAGCATATTTTCTGTAGCATATTTTGTTTGTTATATATTTTATATGATTTTCAATATTTCCTTTGTATTTTTACAGAGACGTAGGGAATAGTAAATAATGTATAATACATAATATTTTATAATAATAGTTGTTGCTGATTAGCTGTGATGTACATCACATATCATTAGGACTACTAAATTTTAATGTCCACACTATGCCTATGTTACAAATAAAATCATTAGTTTGATGCTCAAATGTTGTGTCTTCCTTGCCTGCACTCTTGCCTAAAAAGCATACAATTTAATATTTATTAAAAGGCTTAAAATTAATAATTTCTACTTCATTTTTATTCTTTTATTAAAAAATAATTAAGAGATTTTCATGGGCCCTGGGTATTATGCCTCTTGTGCCTAATGGGTAAATTGGTTCTAAGCACACTTCCCACTATTATTTTTGACAACAAAGAACATTTTTCATGCAAGTTTAATAACCCCTGAACTGATTCATACCTCCCTTTGTTTTTAAGAGATAATTGAGAACCTACTTTAAAAATAGATGTTCAAATCTAGGAGAATAGTAAGTGGGCAGGGATATTTTAAGTGTTGAATATGTGGTGCATTGCAGCAGATAATATGCTTATTGACTTCTTAAATTTTCATCTTTCTTCAAATAGGTGATGGATGTGGGTCTGTAGTCATCTACCAAGACAGTGGAACTCTAACGTCCAAAAACTATCCTAGGACTTATCCCAATCATACTTTCTGTGAAAAGAAAATTCAGCTACCTCATGGAAAGCAACTGATCTTAAAAATTGGAGACTTGGATATAGAATCCCAGAAATGTGAATCTAACTACCTTATCATCTACAATTCTACAACAGTGTACGGTATGTAAAGAGATGATGGTACAACTGATTTGTTGGAAGGCATTTCCACAGTACTGTTGTCACTCCCCAAATCATCAGAATCATTTTCACGGAGACCCATCCTCATCCTCACTGCAGCTCCCAAGTTATTTAGATGAGCTGCCCAAAGCTCCTACACACTGACCAATAAGGGAGTACAAAATCAGCACTCTACCTTAATCTTTTCTCATCCTTATCTGCATTGTGTTTATTCAGGAATTTGATTTATTTTATTTTATTTTAAAAAGCACCAATCACTGAGGGAGCTGTAGATATACAAGGACATTTTGATAGTCTGGTGGTTAATCAGCTACAAGAATAAGGATGAGCCAAAGATCAGTAAGCAGGGTGAGTTGGGAGTTATCATTACCTAGTGATTCACTTCTTTCTTTTTCTTTTTTTAAAGCAGCTGAAATGCTGAATATTCATTCTGTGTTAGACTTATGGCACCTAAAAGCAATAGCACAAGTTAGCTGATGCAAGAAAGGATGATTAAAGTGTTTAGAGAAAAGGGTGTGTAGATATGGTACAAAAAAATAGTGCCCAGGTCATCGCAGTGATTCAACTGGTCACTCTAGGCCAGTGGTTCTCAACCTGTGGGTCGGGACCCCATTTGGGGTCGATCGACCATTTCACAGGGGTCGCCAAGCAAGGCTGTCCGCCATTTTTTTGTCCGCCATTTTTTTTCCCTTTTCCGGCGGGTGCCTTACCTCCCTTGGGCTGGGCCAGCTGGTGGTCGGCCTGCTCCGTCTCTGCCGCTTGCCAGCTATGCCTCGGCCGGCGCAGGGGGCGGAACCACGCATGTGCGGCGCTCCCGGACAGGGAAAGTCCTCGGCTTACAACCGGTTGGGTAGTCCTCGACTTACGACCAGTTTAGTCCTCAACTTACGACCGGTTTAGTCCTCGGCTTACGACCGGTTGGGGTCGCGGCATTAAAAAGGTTGAGAACCACTGCTCTAGGCCTAATTCTGTAAAGAAAGGTGGAAGGCAGGATTTATGAATCCAATTAGAGCTGATGCACACCACATATATACTTGTAGAAATGATGTAACATCCAATAAAATGAAGCTTCTTGGGTGAGAAGCGAAACGTCTTCAGAGAAAAACAAGAAAGTCCAGTTGCCTCCTGAAAAAGCACCTTTGGGGAAATCCAATAAAATGGAACTGATGACTAGTCTAGTCTGAAAATGTGATAATCTAGGAAAATAGGCAGTAGATCTTTACTCTGATATGACTAAATAGTGCTCATTTTACCATGACCTTAAGGTGTAATCCTTTTCCAAGTTGTGTTGTTTTTCTTTACATAAACTGCCATACAGTGATTAGTATAACAATACAAGAGTGTGCAGTTTTATTCTAATCTGTCAGTTATGAGAACATGTGAATAGTCAGTCCTAAACACGCTTCCCAGAGAGCAATTATCATGGAAAGTGGCTCTTATTTTTAAATAGATATGGTCAGATTTGTGTTATTACATATTATAAAGAATAAAAGCTAGGAATGAGGCTGTCTTTTGAACCATAGAGGTGTTTTTATTTTGAATTAGCACTTGATGGCTAAAGAAAGATTGTGAGAATACCTGATTATAAAGAATCAAATAGCCAAAATAGAGGATAACCTGACTTATATTATATGGAATATTGAAAAAAATGGCAGAAGATTAGAATTTTCAGGTTACATTTATATCATTCCTGCCTGACAGAGAAGGTGGGAGATACACTAGAATTTTTCAAGGATTCTGTTCAAATAGCTGTTTTTATGCAAAGTCTTGGATTCTGAGTGCTGTTTAAATCTAAATAATTATATATTTTAACACCATTGTTTTTCACCTTATAAAGAGACATAAATAGTTGTTTTTCTGTTTGATAGTAAAAATATACATTTTAATAAGGCAAATATTTCTCACTAATATGAAAATGCTGACATTTTTATGGGATAATAGGCTTTTTAAATGAGGTGTTTGGAAAATAGACTTACTTAGATACCATTGTGGTAAGTGCAGAAAAAGAATTAGGGTGTTATTGCAGCACATAGAAACACTCAAATGAATTATATATTGCGGAACTATATAACATCATGAAAATCATCCATTGGGCCATTTAATGCAATACTGTCTCCCTTGGCAGTGGTTCTCTTGAACAAAAGCTTTCTTCAAGTTTTACTATCTAAGATTCATTTAAATAGAAAGATATGTCTAACTCTGGGACTTTATCGCATGTGCTTTAATGCAACATTTTAGTTCTCTTCAAAAATTCCTTCAGCAGGAGTTTGGGTTCTCTGAACTAGAGACAGTAACACTCTTCAACTTTCCTGGAATTAGACCTGTATTATTCACAAGCTTTATGCTGAATTATTGATAATTTTTTCTTTACCTTATACTTCTCTTTTACAGAATTGTGAAAAATATTCTTGTTTGATCTGTCAATTCTAAATCTGAGACTTGGTTGACTTCTTTCGCAAGTGCAGGCATGTCTGATTTTTTTTGTGCAGAATTTATTTTACAGTATCTGGAATACTGTATGTTTCCTAGCCTCAGACCAGTCAACCTTAGAATGAATCAGCAGTCTTAATTACTGAACACTTGAGGGCAAGACAGGTCATTGGGAAATATAAGAGATACTAGAAGCATATCTGTGGGAAAATGTCTGGAGGCAAATTTAGTCTGAAAAAACGGAATGGGGGAAAATGTTTATTTCTCTTGTAGCCTTCAAAACATAAAATAACCATTTCTTTCCATCCTATTTTTTTAAAGTACACATTAAGTATTGACTTCCAGATCATGTTGCAAATTTATTTTTATTCATTAAACAAATCGATTTACAACCATAATAAAGCCCGGAATTACGATTGTAAGTCATGGAAGGTCATCATGGGATCACGCCCAATTTTATGACCTTTTTTGCAGCAATTGTTAAATGCCCAGTTATTAAGCGAATGCCACAGTCATTAAATGAACCTTCCTCTAAATGGAAACTTTTTGGTGGAAAGCAGCAAAAAATGCCAAAACCCATTGTTACCTAACTGCGGGATGCTCTAAATGTGAGCTGGTTGACAAGTGCTCCACATATGATCATGTGACCATGCAGCCATCAGAACTTTGAGAATGGGTCATCAGGAGTTCTGGAGTGTCCTGCCTAACTTTGAATGGCTGCCTATATATATATTACACATATGCTGACTGGGAACTGATAAATCAAACCCTGGATGATTATGAAGGACAGTCAAGCTGCGGTATTTCACTGTCTCCAATGTAATATTACCATTTTCATGAAGAATCGCGGCTGCATCTGAAAGCTTCCTCGGTTCTGCTGTTTAATGCTCCAGAGACTTTTATGGCCAGTATTAGTTTCTCTTGAGGAGTTAATTGCAGTCCTTTCTGCCTTCGGTTGTTATATTTTTAAACTATAACAGTTTTTTTGTGTGGTAGAAATACCACCTAGAAGTATTAATAGGGAAAGGCTGGTAGAAATGGTTTCTAATGATATAAAACACTTTGGACTACAGCAAAACAAGCTGTGATTATGCTTCATCACATAGCTCTTAACTCTTAAAGCAAGTAAGAACATTTAAAAGTGTGTGCTACAATTTTTGGTGGTCTGTAATTTAGGCCTTCTATAAACATAATTCAGGCTTCCTCCAATCTGTCTTTTATTAAAATAAAAACTCTTAAGCAAGCATAATTACATCCTGCAATGGCTCTTTAGCCTTAAGGAATGTTTAAGGTCTTAGTAATTTAACAGGAGACAGGAGACAATAATTCCTAGGTGTGTGCAAAATGTTTTGAATTCAAACTATTTTGAATTTGAAACATCCTGTTTTGAGTTTGAAACCCTCTGGATGTGAACTTGGTTGTCGTGATCATTTTTGAGGATTTTTCACTCAGAGTAAAAAGATTAAACCTTTAATCTTTGAATACTTCCTTTGTCCTTCAGGACATCAGATCTTACATTAAAGATAACTTTCTCTTCCAAGTATTCCATGCAATTTTGAATTGATTTCCCGCTGATATGTACATAGGTCTGGTCAACTTCCATGCTAAAATGAGGTCACATCTAAATGTTTCTGACCTATCAACTTGACTCACAATCTTTATACTTACAGAATTCTCAATAAGTGAAACCTACAAAAACCTGAATTACTTGCTTTTGTGGACATTTTAATTCTCTTTAATGTTTATACATTATATAATAATACGTATGACATAAGAGATTTTGGATCTAGAACACGAGTGTCAAACACGTCACGTGACATGTCGTGACATATCATGCCTTTTTTCGCATTGCTGGAGCTGGGGTGGGCGCGGCCTCTGCATGATGCAACCGGGCTGTGGGCCTGCAGTTTGATACCCCTGGTCTAGAATAATACTGTTTTACATCCTGCACATAATAATTATCTTTTGCAATTTATAGATTGCTATTCACTCTCTTTATTTTCTGCTATCGCTAGATCTCCTATCTTTTTTCTCTAAATTTCTTCATTTAATTTTTACAATTTATTTATATCTCCAAATTGTTTACAACTTTCAGTTGAGCATTTCCAATTGTTTTCGCCTTGCTTTCTAACAAATATTTTATAATGCTTTGAGGAAAGTAATGCTGCATTAATTATTAAAAATTACAGTTAGATAAAATGGCGACCTAAGCCAGCAAAAGCATTTCCAAATTTTCTAAAGAGTTCAAATATAAAAACTAACATCTTAAAAATTTTTAATTAATGAAATTGGTTCCATTATAATGCTCTATAGTTTGGATCTAAAAATGTTTAGTGCATTTAACTTCCCATGTAAAAAAATAAAATTGTTACTAAACTTTTAATAAACTATTTCTCAAAACAGAAGAAGAAAATAAGGAAAAGGATTGCTGTTTTTTTTAATAGAAATAACTAAATGTGAATATATAGTTTGCAAATAGTGCTACATATATTAATGTATTTAAAAGATTTATATGGCTATCTTAAAACATGAGGGACAGTTCACAGCAGTAATAAAACTACAAATCATAAAATCACAAAACTAAAAGCAAGAACTAAAAAAAACATACATTATATGAATGTATTTATTACATGTTTACATATTTATTTATATATTTATTACATTTATTAAGTATGTATTTATCACATATACTGTGTTTAGACCTTAAATGATAATTGTCAGGTTTTGTTATTTACTGCTCTTTTAAGAAAGCTATACTTTCAAAACTACTGAATTCTGGTTATGTACAGTACTTGAAACTAAAATAATCTGAAATGTTAATATCAGTGTTTCTTTTTTATTGAATGAAAGGTGGCAAGATTGTAGCTATTTAACTAACTTCAAAGATTGCAAGTCAAATATGCACATAGTATAAACTAAGTTCTACGGATTTATTTATTTTTTTGGTGTGTCTCTGTTGTATGGAGCAAGTCTCCAATTATACTTGTTCTATTTTTAGGACCTTATTGTGGCAATGTGCCCATCCCAAATGAAATAATCTTGGATTCCCGTGAAGTAACCATTCGCTTTGAGAGCAGGTCCCATATATCTGGTAGGGGCTTTCTCCTGTCCTTCACCAGCAGTGATCATCCAGGTAAAGTGGAAAACCTCAAATGAATATAGGTAGGAATTGAGATGAGCTGTCAAGGGAACAGTGACTACAAAATCAACTGGTCACTGTTCTCATTCCTTAGTTTTGGGAAGCAAGGATAACCTAAATGCTAGTGACCTTTAATCACCGTCCCTTATTTGGCTGCCTGCTTGTCTTGCTTCTTATGGAAATGGGAAAGTGGCCAGACTGTAGTGAGAGTGCCTTTTTGCTGGTATGCCAAGCATTCTGAACAGAAAGAAGAAGCAAGCAGAGAGAAATTGCCTTTCATCTTACTATTTCAGTACTAATGGTTGCAGTCAGAAATTGATATTGGAAAAATCTGTATGTTGGCATGAAAGAACTTGAATGTCTACTCTGTTGCCAAGTTGTACATAAAAATCTATCTTTTCTTGTTCTTGATTTATGACAGAGCATGTAAGTCTGACTGACTGTCAGACCATGGATAAGACAGTTCTTGCTAAACTAGAATTTCACACAAGTAAAATATGTAAATTCTGACATTAGGGTTTAAACGATGACTCTTCCCTCAAGATGTTTGTTAAATTGAAATTTTGCTGTAATTTCTTTTTGGGGGAAAAAAGTAGATCCAATTGAAGAAGTCTATGAGAAGGACAGGGAAGATAAAACAAAGGTTATGAAGGGGGGAACAAATGTTGCAGGGCCTCTGTGGCTCTTAATTCTTCTTAAATGACACTTTAACTTTAACTGACTAAGTCTGTATGCATGGACTTCTGAATATAAATTCACAAGTACTTGTATCTTCCTGATTGAGAAATAACTTTTACTTTGAACAGATCTAATCACATGTCTGGAGAAAGGCAACCACTACACAAAGCTGGAGTATAGGTACGTATAGGCTTAAGGGCTAGACTCTGGCTGTCAAGTTGCATCTTGCTTGTAACACATTTATTGCTGATAATGGATATAACCATAAGCCAGGAACCCTACTGCCAACCACAGGAATGTGTTTGTCGGGAAATACTTGGAGGCATCTGCCTATGTGATTATCTGCTTGATGCTTGCCTGAGTCTCAGGCAGTGAAGACTTCTTTGGGAAGACTTTTCATTCCAAATGTAATGAAGGAATGCTGCAACAGAACACTGCACTGTCCTAATATATAGCGACTTGTGATGCCAAAATAAGTCAGGACTGTGCTTTTGGTATTGACGATGTCTGGCTCCTAACCACAGAAAGAAGTATTTCATGCAGTAGCTTGGAAAATAAAGGCATATAAGCAAGAAATAGTTTCAGAAGCGGTGGGGATGGACATCTTTTTTAGTTGGACTTGTTGCTGGCTAATGAGTCGAGGAATATGCATGTGATCATAGTGTTATTCAGAGCATGCATGCTTTGTTCACACCCAGAAGAATTTTAGTAAGGATGAATGAAACCACAAGGCAGACTCTCAGGAGTGATCTCACTGGTTACTTTCCTCTTTTTCTTGCTTTTTTCAAACTTGTTGTTGTAACCCTCAGAAACCTCCAGTGTCTTTGATAGCTGCTGCTAGTGGACTCTGTGGACTCTGCAGCATCTTGGAGAATTGTCCACATCCGTAAAAGCTACAGAAACAGTTTAACATACTGCAAATGCCATCAAGGTCTAACTAGCCATGTTGTAAAAGCTGGACCTGGGAGGGCAGGTAAAACTGTGACAGTATGTAGTGGGTTATAGAACAACTCTTTGTACATAACATCCAGCTCAAGTATGACAGCAAGAAACAAACAACATGCATTCCAGTTGCTGCTGTTGTGGGTGTTTCTGCTATTCCATAGAGCGTGTGAATCAACTGGAATTTTGAGGGGGAAGGCCTTGATCTTAGTGTCATTTGTGTTTATGCCTATATTTATGAGTGTGTGTCCATACTGCACTACATTACTAATCTCTACTTCAACTAATGAGCCCCTTTTTCCCCCTGACAGCAGATACTGTCCACCTGGTTGCAGAGATATAATAGGAGATATTTCTGGTAATATCATAGAAGGCTACAGAGATGTAAGTACCCCAACGTAAGAGCAGATTGAGAAGAAAAAAGTAGCAGCACTGTTTTCTAGATGTTTTTGACTAGTCAATAAAACATTTAACTTAAGTCAAAGCCGGTACAATAAATTATTATGCAACATGGAGCATATTAAGATCTGGAAATAGTGATATGAACAGGTGCAGATAATCTTGAAAAATCAGGCTTAAAGATGAGAAGCACATAAAGAGTGTTTTTTTCGTTTAACTAATATAGTTCAGGCTAAATGGTTGGTAGTCTGACAGATAGAACTGTTTTTCTGTTAAACTAAAAAGTCCATCTGTTGTGATCTGAAATCTGTTTTGAAAGTTAGGTTCAGTAATATATTTTGCAGGAATCCTATTGTGAATGAAGATCAGAGAAACTGCTATTACACCACTTAATAGGGTGGAATGAATCATAAAATAGTTTATGGTCAGTATCCACTAAGTATCTCCAGCAGGTGGCCATCAAGCCTAAATAACTCTGCATGACACTGCTACCCTATGTTCAGCTGGTGGTCTAATAGAAACCGTAGATCAGGGGTGTCAAACTGCCGGCCCGCTGGCCGGACGTATCACGCGGAAGCCGCGCCCACCCCATTGCCGGCAATGGCAAAACAGTCCCATGACATTGCGAGTTTGACATGCCTGCCCTAGATCCTTCTAGGAACCTTATTGCCCAGCCAATAAGCCTGGTGTCTCAAATCCTATATCAGAGGATCAGCTATAGAAGGCACCGTGGACACATTTAAACATCACTCCATTGGATTTAGATCAGTGCTTAGGTCAAGATTATTTTGAATTTTGATTTTGTCCTCATCTACAAATCTGATAAGCCTCCTTTCTGTGACATCCTCCAGATCATTTGGCAGAGGTGTCTCAGTGTTGCTCGCTGGAGCAAAGCAGCACTTCAAATCTAAAAACAAGTTCTGCCCCCATTGCCCCTAGTAGTTGATGCTTTGAGGCAGACCACTTCATGTGTTGTTTTGCTTGAATGAAAATGTCTTCTGGCACATATGAACAGAACAGCTAGTAAGACAGTTGCCTCGCTACAACATTGCATCTTCACTGTAAGGCAGTGTTTCTCAACCTTGACAATTTTAAGGCATGTGGACTTCAACTCCCAGAATTCCACAGCCAGCATTGCTGGCTGTGGAATTCTGGGAATTGAAGTCCACATGCCTTAAAATTGTCAAGGTTGAGAAACACTGCTGTAAGGCATAGCAAAAGAGGTATTGCTTCACCCGAAAAGCTCCATTGATGGGGAAGGTCACAGAAAGATCAGTTGAAGCCACATGTATATTTAGGCTTTGCACACAGTTTGGAGGTACAGAGGGAATTATGTATGTTTTGATCTGGTCAATATAATGACTGGTTGTTCTTTTATTATTATTCCCATAGTGTTCACTTATATGTATATTTATGTGGGTGTGTAGTTTCATTTAGATCAATTGCCAATTGATATAATCTTCACGTGCCATTCCTTTTGATCCAGTTTACATATCAGGCTTAATAGACTCTTTTAGGCAATAATCCAATGTCCTTCTCCTCATTATAATTAGAGTACCTAAACTAAAGGACCAAAGCAGGTGGCATTATGCTTCTCCACCTGTATTTTGAGGAAACGGCATTTAATGGTTTCTGAGCAAGGACAGATTGCTGCGTTGTAAAATATTAACCTGAGAACATATTTACCTAACAAGTCAAGTTGTTGCAATCTTTTCCGAAGTAATGCTGTCTCTTCTCCAGTTAAATAGATAATTTGCAGGGAAAGATTACGTTCCTTTTCTGTTAGACTTGATTTTTGAAAGAGTGGCCTCTTTTGTTGGCTAGATGGATGTGATTGATTTAAGTACTAAAATATAATCTTCGGTTTGTTTGTTTGTTAATTTGACTTTGTTACACCAGACATCCTTTTTGTGCAAATCCGCCATACATGCTGGAATCATTGCAGATGAAGTGGGTGGCCAGATCAATGTAGTTCAGATGAAAGGAAAAAATCGGTATCAGGGTATCTTGGCCAATGGTGTCCTTTCCCACGAGTAAGTATTGTTTTGTCTTTTGGCTTATGATATGCTTACTTAAAGGCAGGATATAGTAGTGTGCAGCATGTTTCCTTTTCTTTCAGAATAAGTCATAATTAAACTAGGACGCCTAAATAACCATAATTTGATCTGCAACTAAAATTATGTTTGCGTATGCTATCCTTAACATAATGAGACATATAACTGTGTGTTCCCATACAAAGTTGTTTCCCTTTTTTTTTACGCAATTGGTCTGCACGTCCCTTAGCATGAGCAACTGAACCAGATTTTCTAAAGTTAAATATTGTTCTGTTGTAATTAATACAGACTTCTTAATTTGCTTGATGAATCATTCAAAGAGAAAAGCCAATTGTGGGAATTAGCTTTGTTCAGTTATTAATTGAAGATATATGTGTCAAAATTCAGTGGTTGGTTGCTAAAATGTGATATTAAACTGGTTCCTGAACTAAACAGCAAATAAAATGCATTTATTACTTGGGGTCCTTTGCACAACCTCAACACTACAGTTAAATAATAATAGGCATCAGATCTGTCACCATTATTCAAAGTCACGGAAGGAGTTCATCCTTTGAAATAGAAGTGCTAACAAAATCATACATAAAATAGCTTTGGTTGGCTGGTTGGCTGATAAATATAGATGGATAATACACACAAAAATGTATCTATGACAATATATAGTTAACATTATGGTATCTTTTTTCTTGACAGTGGATCTCTATCAGACAAGCGATTTATTTTTAACTCAAACGGTAAGGAGTATTATTATTTTGCTTTTTTTGTTCAATGAAGCCTAATGATTTTAATTAGTACTTCAAAGCTGTTATCATTATAAATATTATTCAGATATTACTCAGAACTAAATTCACTTGCTTTGCTATCAAGTAGGCGTTTAGACAAGCAATCCTCAACTTACAACCATTCAACTACCGTTCAAAATTATGATGGTGCTGAACAGAGTTATTACCCTTGTCTGAAGTTATGGCTGTTGCAGCACCCTCACTGTCACATAGTCAAGATTCAGGCGCTTGGCAATCCACCCATCCTTATGATTGGCTGCAGGGGCACTGCAACTGCCCCTACCTATCCATCTCTCCCCACCCCCATCCCCCATTTCAACACCTCACTAGCACGCACAAAGCTGGCTTGGCACTTTTTCTCACCACTTACGTATGTGTTGTTCTGCAGCTGCTGACAAGGTATTGCCCAGACAACACAAAGGCACAACCTTCCTGTCAAGATTGCCTCATGTCTTCCTGCAAGCGAGTCATCTTCTTGTGACGGTTCAGATTGCCTGATTTGGAGAAGGACCCTTTGAGAGAATGGGGTCTACTTGCAGGATGGCACAAGGTGACCTTGGGAGGAAAGCTGCACCTTACATCGGCTGGGAGTGTCTGTCAGCAGCTACTGAACAACATTAAGATTAGTAGACCTGGGTGTGATGGGACAGGGAGAGGATTCAGGCTTCCTGGCTCATGATAGGTTATCAAGTGCCAGTGGGTGCTGGAGGTCTTCTACTCGAGACACCCTGCACTCCAGTTAATGATATGTGCAATCACTTAATGACAGCAGCTGGGAGGTCTTTGAGTGAAGCAGTAAGGTGGGTGTCTCACTTAACGACTGCTTTCCTCAGTGTCTAAAATTCCAGTCCCAATTGTGGTTGATAGTCAATGACTACTTGTAACTTTATATAGCTGAACTCTTTTAACAGTGTGCTTGGGTTCAGCGCACTTTGAACACCAACTATTCTTCATTGTGTTGTTGATGATGCAGCTTAGAATTAAGACTGTTGTCAGAATAATACCATCTTTGGAAATCAAAACCTTCAATTTGGAATTTATCCAATTCAGCTAAATAATGTATCAGTGCTTCTTATCAACAACTAAGTTCAGATGTTGGGTTCTGATTTGAGTAGAGCATTAAACATATCCAGGATAGATGTCTTACTGGGCAAAGCAAGTATTTTTATGATACAGTGTGTACAGTGAAAACAAAAATTCACATTCTTTTTATAATTGAAAGGTTGTGACAAAGCACTGAACTTAGGAGGTGGAGATGCTTTGAATATTCAGATGACTGCATCATCATCCTGGGATGAAATCAGTGAAGTTGGGGACTTAGTTGAGTGGTCTCCTCAGAAAGCTTGGCTTAAAGTTCCTGGACCATCTTGGGCAGCGAACCAAAGTAACCATCAGCAGTGGCTGGAAATTGACTTGGGAGAGAAAACTAGAATTACAGGTCAGTTCGGAGGCTTTCTGCTCAGTACAGCAGCATATGCTTTTGACACACGTGCCATGATGTCGTGTGCAGTTATGAAAAGTGTGGTCTTTGCATCCTGAGGGCACAACCACTACTTTTTCATTTTGAGTGTTGGATTCTGCAGATGCTTCTGAGTCAATTATTCATGGAATAAAATAATTCTATAATTCAGTGGTATGTTCAGACGGCATGGTAAGTTAGAGCTAAACAATTCTGGCTATGTGTTGCTACTTTGGGCCCAAACTTTCTCACTTGGTTCTGATGCAAAAGAAAGTGGCTAAATAAACCTAAATCTCTGCGTCTTACAAGAAGAGCCCATGTTTGTGTACTGTTCATATGGTCTTGCTTTGGTTGCATTTCTTGTGCTCTGTGTTTAGAAACTTGCTTTTCTCCATAATGTTTTGCATCCTGAAGCCTCCATTTTGTTTTAAAGAACTGTATAAACCAGGGGTAGGTAACCTTGGCTCTTTTATGACTCGTGGACTTCAACTCCCAGAATTTCTGAGCCAGCATGGCTGGCTCAGGAATTCTGGGAGTTGAAGTCCACGAGTCATAAAAGAGCCAAAGTTGCCTACCCCTGGTATAAACTAATCTGGTATGGATGATAAAATGCAACGTGAGAATTGTTCCTAGTTACTAGCCAGTGAAATCATTTATGCCTTATTAATGTGGGGTTGAACTACATTTGTATGTAAAATCACAATCCAGAATTTACATATTGTGTGGTTCTTATTACTATTTGTGGAAAATTAGGCTTCTTCAATGGATACATATTTGTATCTACTGATAGAAGGTATGCATGTAAACAAATGTTTAAAACATTAGTAGTGGAAATGGTGATAAAATATAACGCTAACGGTGACGCTTTTAAGTTTGGTCTCAATATATTAATATTATTTGAAGAAAAGTTTAGTTTCAGTTTTACTAATGAATAAAAACTATATTTCTCTTTTGTTTCATTACAAGGAATTAGAACTACTGGATCTACTGTGCTTCATTTTAATTATTACATTGAGACATTTGTTGTGAATTATAAAAATAATAACTCAAAATGGAGACCTTACAAAGGAATCTTAAGCAACGAAGAAAAGGTAATGCTGGTTAGGGGATGGGGAATGGAGGAAGAATGGGATTATTAGGTTTTTTCCCTTCAATACTTTGGTTTTGTTTTTTTATGATTGGAGCAGCAGTGTTAGACTCATCAAGGTGAAAATCTTATTGATTGAAATGAGGTTCCAGTGGCCTTAAGTGTGGCTGAATAGCTTGCTATATTACTAGCATTCAGAAGTTAGTGGTAATTGCTTCATGGTAGAGCAACTATTAAAACATAAAGAGATTATACAGGTAGTCCTCGACTTACAAAAGTTCATTTAGTGATCATTCAATGATACAAGGGCACTGAAAAAAGTGACTTATGACCATTTTTCATACATAGGACTGTAGCAGCATCCCCATGCTCTTTTGATCAAAATTCAGGTGCAACTGACTCGTATTTATTACGGTTGCAGTACCTTGGGGTCATGTGATCATCTTTTGTGACCTTCTGACAAGCAAAGTCAATGGGGAAATCCAGATTCACTTAACAACTGTGTTACTAACTTAAGTGATTGACTTAACAACTGTGATAATCAAGGTAGCAAATGGGGCAAAACTCATTTAACAAATGTCTCATTTAGCAACAGAAATTTTGGGCTCAGTTGTGGTTGTAAGTCAAGGACTACATGTATTTTTATATGTGCTCTGTACACTAGCAGTAGTGAAATAAGAAATGTTGTTAACAAATGGACATCTATGGAGATTCTCAGTCATCCAGATTATGTTGTCCCACAGGTGCCTTTTTCCAGAGGCAACTGGACTTTCTTGTTTTTCTTTGAAGTTGTTTCGCTTCTCATCCAAGAATCTTCTTCAGCCCAGAAGCAACTTCTTGGATGAGAAGCGAAACGTCTTCAAAGAAAAACAATAACGTCCAGTTGCCTCTGGAAAAAGCACCTTTGGGTTAACAAATGGACAAAATCTTAAAACATACAACAGAAAGGTTTGCCCTTAAAAACCTATTTTTTCACATGCAAGGCAGAACGTGGACAGTGTATCTGCCATTGTTCAGAAAAGTGTACAAACATTTAATAGTAATTTGTTTATTCAACGCTTCTCTGAAAATTTAACCAAAAATGAATCTCCATGATATTTATTTACTAAAACCTGGGGAGGGGAGGGATTAAAAAATGGTTCCGAATGGGTTGGTTTTCTCCACAATTTCTTTCAACAGGTGGGAAAAGCCCCTCCTACATAGAATGAGGTAGCCTTTCCGTTTTCCAGATGTCTAGGCTTACAATGGCACATAATGATCCTGTAGATTTCATTACCATAAGATACAGAAATAGCCACTAGCCTGGATAGCTTTAAAGGGGAACTGGATACATACACAGAGAATAGGATTGTTGAGGGCCATTAGTACTATAGATTCAGTATTCTCTTTGGTTGGGGGAAGCATGATTGCAAATACCAGTTGCAAACAAAGATGGGTGGAGTTTTGAGTAGTCCAAGGTTGACCACTATGAGAAACAAAATATCCATTTAAAATGGGCCTTGGCCCACAATAGTAGAGCTTTTTGTTATTGTGCTGACTTGGAAGTTTGTGGCATCCAGATTCAGATTCTTCAGTTCTATCAAGTAGGTCTTCTCTATGCCAGACACTGCTCAAATTGGGGCCTGACAGAGCATTTGCTATTAAGCCAGTCAAAAAAACTACGCTATTTCTAATATTGTAGTCATTGACAAAGCAGATTTGAATTGCTCAGTTAAACCTCCTCTTACAATATTTCCTTGAAAGATTAATTTGTGGAATAAGAATTATGTTATTGTCTTTTATTAATCTCCACTTTCTCTTTCTCTTATATTGATTATCCTGTTTTGTGTGTGTTTAATTGTTTTCCTCCGTGTTACAGGTATTCAAAGCCAACTCAAATCATGGAGATGTAGTTCGGAATAATTTTATTCCCCCTATAGTAGCTCGCTTTCTAAGAATTATTCCACAGAGCTGGCACAAAAGAATAGCCCTGAAGGTGGAACTTATTGGTTGTCGAGCAGCCCAAAGTAAGCCATTTTTATCTTTACAGATCTGATAAAAAGTAGAATCTGATTGTCCCACAAATGGGATGTTGACATTTTTTTCATCTGTTTGTAGGTAACAGCTCTCTTATTCATCCACTCGGGCAGAGACCAAGTCAAAGCACCAGTGTTTCAACTAAAAAAGATGACCGATCAATCACAGAATATATACCGTTAGTTGAAACCAACTCAGGTATGACAATCAATGTAATCCTATGTATGTGAAATGGAGGAGAAAAGTTACCATCCATTCTTAGTTGTTGGGAACAACCATTCAAAAAACGGTCACACTGCCCGGTCCCCAGGCAGGCAGTTCCCATCCCTCCCCTCCTCCCCCACCCCCCAAATACACACATTTTCTGTGTTTATCTTCTTTCCTCATATTTGTCCAGCATCTCACTTGTGGCTTCTGCTTCCTGAGATGGTATCACTGCAGTCTGATAGGACAGTAACAGTCTTTCAGTGACATATTTTGCTTTCTTCAAAAATAAAACGGAAGAGGAAGTGGGCAGCAGTCTGCTCCCATTTTCATCCTTAAATACTCTCTCCCAGTGGTCTGAAATCACACCATTGGAATTCTGCTATGTTGGCAGCATCATTTAATCATAATGGGCTTGAAACAGTGATTCAATAATAAGCTTATTGAATAATGAGCCTACACCAATGCGATCCAACTATGGAGGACAAGTTATTTGGCACTTACACTAGCCATTTTTCCATCACAACCTCTCTGATATATATATAGGTTTTTAAAGTCCCAGTAGGCTAGCACTCCATCAGTTTTGTTTTTGTAATAGAATAAAGAGTGCCTGCTTTACAAGAGGTGTACTCCTATTTGTATGATAATGCAGTGTGATCATTAGTGCATAATGCAGCTCTCAAGTCAGCTTTCTAGCTTTATTTTTCAACATATTTTAGATCTTGATTTATATTTTACTTATTTTAAGGATTGAATCTTACGGCTATCATTATTCCAACACTGGTGGCGCTTTTCCTGCTCTTGTTACTGGGAATCTGCATCTTTATTGCACTGCGAAAGTATGTGATTTATTTCTCATTTAGAACTGAGATACATAATCATTGTCATAATTTGGATAGATGCAGCTGCTTTATTCATTATAATGTTTCAAAAGTAATTGGTAGATAAAAATTAATTCCAATGGGGAAGATATTGTTTTGTTTAATGGTTTTATATATTAATTCTTTAAACTATTGCATGTCTGATATCTCATTTAATTCCCAACAGTTTTAATTAATTTAGTTTATCAGGCTCCCACAATTCTGAGTCTCCAAGAGATGTGTGCTTTCTCTCTCTCCTTTCCTCATTCATTCATTAACATTCATTTGCATACTGTATATACTGGTGGATAAGCCTATCAATGAATAAGCCGAGTCTTAAATTGTAACCAAAATACCATGAAAAAATGTGCCACGTGTAAATAAGATGGCCCTCCAAATTTTTGAATGTTTTCATTTTTACAATTGACTATTTATGGATGGTATAATTTTCATAGTATTTTGTTTAAAAATTCCAGGGATGGCTTATCCATCAGAATTATACAGAATACATGGGTTCTTTTTTAAAAAAAAAACAAAAAAAAAACATTACTGTATATGTTAGCTCAGTGTTTCTCAACCTTGACAATTTTAAGGCATGCTGGCTGTGGAATTCTGGGAGTTGAAGTCCACATGCCTTAAAATTGTCATGGTTGAGAAACACTGTGTTAGCTGAAAAGCCCATCGATGGATAAACCAAGCCCAATTTTGGTGGTGTATTTTGGAATCTACAATTCTTGGTTTATCCATGAGAATATGTGATAATTATAAATTGCACCTAACAAAAAGGGAGAGATTTAGGGAGAGCTGACTGTAGATTGCTTGACAAAGTGTGCCAGCCCAGAGAGGTTCCTTCCACATTTCGTGGGGGAGCATAGCAGAAGAGCAAGATCAAAGCATTGTTTCAAGATGCTTTCAGGCTCCTCTGTGAATTCATTAAGTGTTAATTATTTGCATGAAGGATTAGCTCAGAATAGGATAGCTGCACTTGGTTTAGCCTTGAAAGAGAGAAACATTTTTTTTAAAACGCACTCAATCATTAAAAGAGAGCTGAGGCAGAGGGGGGAAAAATGGTTTGTAATGAGGTATTGATTGTTGTGATTTCTGAACTTAGACAAAGAAATGGCATACGAAAAATATCCTCAGAGCAAGTTATTTTTCTCTCTCTCTCTTCCTTCTTTCTCTTTCTTATGAAGACACTGTTAAATAAGACTGTAGTTTGGTGATTGTTGGCCGATCATGGAATAGAAACCTATTTGCTCTGAAACCTTGATTTAAAGTATCGCTGTTTAGCAAATTTTAGATGCAGAGGACCAGATTTCAATCTGGATGTCCACTGGTATAATGGACAAATCCTCTAAATCCAAAGTAGTCTAGACGAGATAGATATAGTTATTGTTTCCCCAAAAGTAAGACCTACCCCGAAAATAAGCCCTAGCTTGATTTTTGGGGGTGGGCCTAATATAAATCCTACCCTGAAAATAAGCCCTAGTTTTGGATTGAGACACACACCTAAAAATCCAGCAAGGGCGGGGATAGGGGGTGGAGCTGCCCCATATGCCCCACACCCACTTACTTTGCAGGTACTCGTCGCTGGCCTACTTCTTCTGCGGCGTCTCCAGGCCTGCATTTCATAGTCAAAGGCCGTTCTGGAAGGCCTCTGCAGCCGAGAACCGAGCTATGGATTCAACCATAGCTCTGTTCTTGGCTGCAGTGGCCTTCCGGAAAGGCCTTTGACTGCATAATGCAGGCCAGAGCTCCATTCTCAGTTGCAGAACGAAGCTGCTTCTTCGACCGCAGAAAAAGTGGGCTGGCTGGGTGGGGCTGTTGTGTCGGAGATGAGTGGAAAAGACACCTCCCCCCCTGAAAATAAGACCTGGTGCCTCTTTTGGAGGATATATATATATATATGTATATGCATATATATATATATTACCTTAACTTTCAACATCTGCAGCGGTTCATGTCCCAGATTTCATTATGTGGTTTACCTTTCAATTTGCATAATACATTAACAAAAATCACAGTGATTATGTACTGTACTTTCATATTTAATAGACATTTGGGAGTATCCAATACCCCCTTCCTGCAAGTTATTCCTATTAAAATAAGGTGTCACTGTCCTGTAGCTTTTCACCATGCTTTCTTTCTGAATTGTATTGTATATCACAGTAAGCCCAAAAAATGAGTTCCACAGAGCTGCATGGAGATTGCTTTTTGAGTAAGCACATGTTCGGGCTGCTGGTGACCAGGGAGAAATTTGTAGGCATGGACACAACCTGATTGACACACTGAGTTGACATCCTGTCAAATCATCTTACACTCCATTTTCCTCCTTGCCAAGCCATCTAGTCTTAGTGAAGAACGAACTTTCTAACTCCTCTTCACCCTAGAACCTGATGAAAGGAATAGCATTACTGGACAGGCAGATACGAACCGGTTCCTTATCTTAAGTAATCTTTTCAAATAAAGGATTGGGTAGGAGCCCTCTGCTGTTTTACAACCACAAAATGATCCATTGGAACAGAAGGTCATACATGTCACATGATGCTACCGATTGCCTCAGCCGTGCATAGCTCAAGCTTAGATTCATGAGATGAATTCTATTATTTGTAAATTATAGCTTGATCAATGGCACAAATACCAATTTTGGAGGCTATGTATATTTCAGAGCAGCCTTAGTTTACATAAGACAGGTTTACCTTAGCCTTAGTTTACATAGCTGGCTAGGGAATTCTGGGAATTGAAGTCCACAAGTCTTAAAGTTTCCAAGGTTGGGGACCCCTGATCATAAGACATTCAACATATTACTAGGCTATCTGGCTGGTTAACAAACTAAAAATATATACCTTTTTATGATGTGTCAGAGATTGGGAAAGAGATTCATCATCATATCAGTTTTATTCAAAAGATGCTAGACTAGGACTGGGGAGACCCAGGTACAGACATTACCTACCCTACTTATGAACAGATTAAGTTCTGGGAGGCTCTTTACAAGTCCAAACTAATATAAAAAACATGTGGTAGAGTATCTGGGTGGATCTGCAAACAGCATGCCAGAAACTAACCTTTTCCTGGCTTCCGGGACCTTTTAGGACTTGTGGACAGATTTGCTCATTTCTGCAAAAGTTTGCAACTTGAAAGTTTGTAAGTAGGGCAATATCTATACAAATTTTCACTTAGATGTGGAAGCTTACTGGCTGTCTTTAAATTAGTTGTTCTCTCTAGTCCAATCTACCTGCAGAGTCCATGTGGCAATAAAACAAACAGAGATCTCCATTTTTTAAGCCACCTTGAACTCATGAAGGAAATGCTATCAATTGAATAAATAAACTGGGAAATTGTGAACTTCTTGATTTGTTTGTTTAATGAAGCTGTGAATATAAATAAAAATTATTTAAATCAAAGCCCCATAGCACTTGAACTTGGAAGTCCAGTGAAAATATAGTAAGGAAAGCTATGTATCTGATTTCCAGGAAAAATAACACATCTGCCCACGATTTGCAGATTCTTGACAATATCCATGGTAGTAAACCTTGGGAAGACATAAGCCTGAAAATTCAGAATTGTCTGCAGTTTGGAATTTACCAAGTGATAGTAGATTCTGTGAAAGTTGAACTGAAGCAGGAAATGTGCCACTGATCTTGTTCTTCATTACAGAAAATGGAAGAAAGGTGCTACGTATGGTTCATCTGACACTGGAAAACCAAGTTAGTGGCAATCTTTTATTTTTGTTATATGACAAGAAGAAATATAAAAATGTTTCCTGTTGATCAGTAATATCTTTTGGATTCCACCTTTCTGTGTCCTGACCTATGTATCATGTTTTATATATAATGAGTTAAGTAGAGCTGGACATTCAGAGAGAGCTGGCACTGATATCTCTGATCCTGCTCATCCTCTTTTTCAGCTTCTCTGATTGCTCTGTGGGAATTTGTGGATAGGTTCTTTTATTTGTTCCCTTGCCATTTGTGGCTGCAGGTATGATGTATGATGCTATACAATCTCCAAGGTTTTTACAGAGCACTTTTATGTATTATGCTGCTGCTTTGACTCTCCAGCAGGGTCTGGCTTTGATGAGAAGCACAGCAAGGCCTAAATTTCAGTAGCACTAGAATTTTGAAGGACACATTAAAAAAAAGTGTAACATATTTTCGTGACTGTACAAGAAATAAAAAGCTGCTTTCCACAGGGTATTTTGTAGAGCTAGAAATCTTGTGTATACAAGCTGAGGTTTTTCTGTCTCCCTTGAGAAATAGCTTCCACACACTAGCTCTTTGCCATCTAAAAAGGAACATATAAACCTCCATTACTATAAGAGGTAAGAAAACTATTTGCATCCTAGCAAAATTCCTGTCGATCTCGCAGTTCGAAAGCATGCAAATACGAGTAGGTACCACTTCGGTGGGAAGGTCCCATGCGCCTTTGGCATATAGCTATGCTGGCCACATGACCACAGAAATTGTCTTTGGACAACACTGGCTTCCACAGCCAAGAAACAGAGGTGAGCACCATGCCCTGGAGTCAGACACAACTGACAGGGAAACTTTTTACCTTTATCTTAGAATTCTGTTCAAGTGGGCCTCTATCATTTTGAGCCTTACAGAGATCATTTGATAGTGCTAATGCTAGTTGTGAAGATTCTGATAACAAACTACAATTCTGTCCTGTTGTTTTCCAAATCATTTTAAACACAATTTTATGATAATCACCTAATAAATCTATATGCCACCAACAACTTAAGAGTAAATAGATTCTATGCACGCAGTGCTTTAGATTACCTTTTGAGATTAAACATAGCTAGGATCTAAATTTCTAGGTTTCTGTTCTAGGTTTCTGGAAACAAATCCAACCACCCTTTGTCCGATATCAGTCTGCAGAATTCACCATCACTTACACTAACGAAAAAGAGACACCCAAAAAGCTGGAACTGATCACAAGCGAGATGGCAGGTAACTCTTCTGAAAACAGTCACTGTTTCTGACACTATAACGTGCAAAATATTTGATCTCCCTCTCCTTAGTTAGTGAAAGACAGTGTAGTTCACATATTTATAATAATTTTCTCTGTTCAGAAAGGCTTGCTTTCCTAGATTCTAAATGCATTACAAGGAACTTTCCTGCCCTTTGTCAAACTTTTGCATATTTTAAAAAAAGTAATGTACAGGCAGTCCTTAAGGTACGGTCATTCATTCAGTGACCATTCAAAGGCGCAAAGGTGCTTTTCCAAAAGGTAACCAGACTTTCTTGGTTTATTTTCTTTGAAAACATTTTGCTTCTCATCCAAGAAGCTTCGGTTTGTGTTTCCCTGAAAATAAGACCCAGTCTTATTTTTATTTTATTTTTTATTTTTTGCTCCAAAAGAGGCACCAGGTCTTATTTTGGGGGGTGTCTTTTCCACTTACCTTGCGGCGGCGGCACCAACAGCCCTGCCCAGCCGGCCCACTTCTTCTGCGGCTGAAGAAGCAGCTTCTTTCTGCAGCTGAGAATGGAGCTCCAGCATCTGAGGCCTTTCTGGAAGGCCTCTGCAGCCGAGAACCGAGCTATGGATTCAATCCGTAGCTCGGTTCTTGGCTGCAGAGTGCTTCCGGAAAGGCGTCTGACTGCAAAATACAGGCCAGAGCTCCATTGACAGCTGCAGAATGAAGCTGCTCCTTCGGCCACAGAAGAGGTGGGCCGGCAAGGTGAGGCAAGTGTTGATCTATGGGAGGCCTAACTGCAATGGGGAAGCTCCACCACCACCACTGCCCTAGCTTGATTTTTAGGTATGCGCCTCGCCTCAAAACTACGGCTTATTTTGGGGGTAGGGCTTATATTAGCCCCCCCCAAATCAAGCTAGGGCTTATTTTTGGGGTAGGTCTTACTTTCGGGAATACACAGTAACTGATCAGTGGGGAATGGAAGGAAGGAAGTCCAGTTGCTTTTTGGAAAACCGCCTTTGGGAGAACCATGACCTGGATGATTGAAAATCTCTGTAGACGTTCAAATATGACTAAAATACAGATAGAATTTAAGCCAGAATTGTTTTTGTTAGGAATACTAGGATCTAACTATGGGAAAGAGAATGAGTATTTAATATTTACATGTATTGACAGCTGCGAGAATAGCATTTGCCCAATATTGGAAAAATGAAAATGTACCATCTGATCAGATGATAATTAGGAAAATTCTAGAATGTGCAGAAATGGACAGACTAACCCTAGAGATTAAAGAGAAAGAAGACTCAGTTTATTTTAAAACATGGGAAAACTTTTATCAATGGTTAGCAAAATGAGTTAGCGAGACCAACAAAGATACTGGAGGCTAAAACATATAAGGAATGGTTGCTGGAATTGGGTATATCTAGTTTAATGAAGAGAAGGACGAGAGGGGACATGATAGCAGTGTTCCAATATCTCAGGGGCTGCCACAAAGAAGAGGGAGTCAAGCTATTCTCCAAAGCACCTGAAGGCAGGACAAGAAGCAATGGATGGAAACTAACGAAAGAGAGAAGCAATCTAGAACTAAGGAGAAACTTCCTGACAGTTAGAACAATTAGCCAGTGGAACAACCTGCCTCCAGAAGCGGTGAATGCACCAACACTGGAAGTTTTTAAGAAGACTGGACAGCCATTTGTCCGAAATGGTATAGGGTTACCTGCCTGACCTCCAAGGTCCCTTCCAACTTTTATTATTATTATTATTATTATTATTATTATTATTATTATTATTATATTATTTTATTATTGTGAAATTTATTAAGATGATTGATGTTTATTGACTAGTTGACATGCTCTATAATTATTGCTATTTTTGTTGACTACAGCTTCTTATTATTATATTAACTATTCCCACTGAATATCTGTATCCGGACGATAGTTTGTTTGCTAAAGCTTGGAATGTTATTGGGGGCAACCCCACTGTTGTACCTACCCCCACCCCCACCCCACCCTGAATCCCACTACCTATATCGATCCTCTTCTTCCCCTACCTTTATAAAACCTAATAAAATATTGTTAAAAGAGAAAAAAAAGAAAATCTCTGTAGACGTTCAGAGGCATAGTGATGAATGGTAGTTACACTTTTTCTCGAAGTTATGGCCATTGTAGCAGCCTCAGTCCTGGGATCAAAATTTGGATAATTGACAACTCGCCTGCACTTAAACTACAGAGGCACTTCAACTCTCTCCATCCATCTATGTCTCTCTCCCCCCCCCCTTTTTGACTTCCCTGCATTCCACTGGCCCTGTCAGCCTGCCACATTGGCCTACTAGCCCTGACACCCTTGTTCAGAAGCCTTCCAAAATCTCACAAGAAGCCTGCATGTGATTGGAACAAGGGCAGGCACTGTCTGGACGAGGGGCAGGTATGGCTTGTCAGTAGAGGCAGGAAAAAGACAGCAAAGATCAGATGGAGCAGTAAGGCCAGCAGGGGCAGTGAACACAGGACAGTGGAGGACAAGATAGCCAGAAGGGCAGAGACGGGGGGGGGGGGGAGAGGGAGGCATGTCAGAAGAATTGAAGAGGAGACAGTCCCTCAGGCTCAGGGTTGGGACGGATCAGGCTGGAAATGGCTTGGATCAGGGTGGACCCTTGGCTCAGAATCAGTGGGATTCAATTAACAGCAACCAGGACTGCTGTCATTAAGGACACATGACCTCATGCTTTACAACCACATCACTTAGAAAATTTTAGCCTCAATTTCTGTTGTAACTCAAGGACTATCTGCATTATGTTTTAAAAATATCACTATTAATGTGCTTATATGAAACTGTTTCCATTGTTGGAATGTGCTTCTTTTCCCCAATCTCGTCCCCCGTTGCTGCTAATATTTATGAATATTTATAAAAGCTTAGAATGTTGACTAAAAGGGTTCCTGTGGCAAGAGACCACACGATGCACTGACACTAAGTGATTTCTATTCATGATTTGTTGAAATGTTCTAGAAGTTAACTTTAATGCATTCTTTCATGGGGATTTGCAATTCACTTGCTCTAATGCAAGACACCATGAAACTTTGATTGGCTCAAATAAGCAGATGGGGGATTAAAAATGGATGGGCCTTCTTTCCGTGCTTGTTAGTGTCCATGCATCAGTTATCTTATTTGAGGTATATGCATAATCCAAAGGCAATTTCTACATAGGGGGATAGAAGTTTGTTTAGTAGCTCTTCCCACCAAAAGAAGAGGCCACATTCAACTTCAGAAGTTCTAAACCAGGGCTTTTAAACCGGTGTTACACATACTACTGGTGGTACATTGGCACGTGGCAGGTAATACGCAGCCATGCCCAGCCTAGCCAAGTGTAGTGGGGGAGGAAATGAGCCAAAGCGGCACAACACAGGACTTGCCATGAGAGAGAGTCCTCGGGAGCTGCAGGGCTGCTGGGGCGAGGCAAAGGCCCAGGATTGGCACTTCCGGCTCACCCGGAAGAGAAAGGAGGAGGAGGGGGGCAGAGACAGGAAGGGATATAAAAGTATCCCTTGGATGGGAGAGTGAGAAAAAAAAATGCAGCCTTGGGGGGGGGGGAGGAAGAGTCAGTTGGAGCTGCACCAAAGAGGAGGAGGAGGGGCTAGAGAAGAGAGGAGATAAAACAGGCTGAGTGCACACACAGGTGGCAGCGACAAACAGGCAAGAAATGTAAGTGGGGAAGGGTCAGCGGCATGACAGTCCATGTCAGTGGTAGCGAACCTATGGCACGGGTGCCAGAGGCGGCACTTGGAGCCCTCTCTTTGGGCACACGTGCCGTTGCCCCAGCCTTGCCTCCCCCGCGACCCCCTCCTCTCCAGCAGCCCCCCTGAAGGAGAGTCGCCCTCGAGGGTGGCCCACACGGAGCAGCGCAGCTAAGGACATGGCAGCCAGGCAGCATAGACAAGACTCTGCCCTCACGCCCCATCATGCAGTTGATGCTGCAGGGCGCGGGCAGAGGGTGTGGCCGCCATAGTGCTGCTGGGCTGCCTGGGCGATCTGCGGCAGGCCCTGGAGGTGGTGAGTGGTCCTGTGGGCAGGCAGGGTAGGGTATGGGGGGGCAGAGCGGGGATGGGGGGCAGAACGGGGGCGGGGCAGGGAGGTGGAACTGGGGTGGGGCCAGTTTTGGGGCACTCGGTCTCTAAAATGTTCACCCTCACTGGTCCATGTTATCTGCGTTACGCCACTCAGACCCCAGCCTGCCTGGGCGAGGCAAACCAGTGAGAAGCTGAACTTATCTGGGCGCATGCAGAGGCGGCGGCGAGCGCCTGGCATCCCAGGTGATTGTTTTGCCCCACAGGCTGACCGTGTTCTGAGCTCTTCCCTTTCACCCAGGACCCTGGAGTGGGTTGGGCTGCAGGGTCCTGGTGCCCTGGGAGCTCGAGGGCCGTGCTGGGTGCTTGCCTCCGCTGCCCAGGGCTCCGGGTAGCCCATGCCACTGTCTGGGAGTCCCCTGCGTGGCCTGAGAGGGACGGTGAGGCTCCTCTGGTGGACCATGCCCTGGCACCTATTCTAGTCCCACCGGATCCCCTCCACAGCCCTGCCCGCACTTTCCACAGGCACCCCACAACCTAAGTGACGAGCTGGCCATGCCCCACAGCCATTGACTTCACTTTTCAAACAGTTGCAAAAGGTGATCAAATGACCCTGGGACACTGTGACTGTCATAAGTATGAATCAGTTGCCAAGCATCCGAATGTAAATCATGTGACCCTGCGGATGCTGCAACGATCATAAGTGTGGAAAATGGTCATCAGTCACTTTTTTCAATGCCGTTGTAACTTCGAACAGTCACTAAGCGAACTGTTGTAAGTGGAAGCTACCAGTTTATCACTTTTTTTCCTTTTTTGGGGGGGGGTCAAGTTTTTGACACCTTGCTAGGCGACTGGTGGTACTCGAATATTGCCATATCCTAAAAGTAGTACAATTCTGAAAAGGTTGATAAGCCCTGTTCTAAACAACTTTGGAAACAGGCACTTTCTCACAAAATTAATTCGATAGCTTTATGAGAGATATGATCCTCAATCTTGCAGGCCCAATTGCAGTAGCCATTGAAAACCTAGCAAAATTACAGGGAGTTCTCAACTTGCAGCCATCCATTTAGTGACTATTCAAAGTAACAATAGCACTGAAAAAAAAGTGACTTATGACTGTTTTTTGCACAACTGTTGCAAAATCCCCATGGTTACATGAAGAAAATTCGGGCACTTGACAACTAGCCTGTATTTATGACACTGTGCCAGGTCCTGTGATCACCCTTCGTAACCTTCCCAGCAGGCTTCCAACAAGCAAAATCAATGGGGGAAGCCGGGTTCGCTTAACAGCCACATGATCCACTTAACAACTGCAATGATTCTTTTTACAAATTTGTCAATAAAGGTCATAAAATGGGGTACAACTCACTTAACGACTGTCCTGCTTAGCAACAGAAATGTTGGGCTCCACTGCAGTCATAAGTTGAGGACTACCTGTATGCTGCTGCTGTTTGGTGGAGAAAGGATAGTTTGGGAAGCATTTTTAAAAATTTGCTTTAAGGAGGAGGAGGAGACTAAAATAAGCATATTTAATTTTTACCAAGTTTAATGCGCTCTGTTAAGGTTTTTTTCCTAATTCACAGGATTTAATGCAAGATATAGTGCACAACATATCTTCATGCATTTTTTTTCTTTTTATGAAGCTATCAAAACGGCACTGAATTTCAATTCTTGCAGCCTAACTTGGTAGATGTAATTTACAACTGCACTCCGTTGTTTCTTTCTTCCACTGGCGCTTGGAAGACAATCACAGAGATTTGAAATATTTTAAACAATATGTTTTCGCTACTGAAAATGTTTGCAAAGTGATAATGTTACCTGAATTTGTATATACATATCTGTAACTCTAAAGAACTCTACTTCTCTTTAGAGCAGACATGTCAAACTTGCGACATATCGGGACTGTTTTGCCATTGCCGGCAATGGGGTGGGCACGGCTTCCACGTGACAGCTCCAGCCCGCAGGCCAGCAATTGACACCCCTGCTTTAGAGTTAAGAGAGACTGGTCAACATTACCTCTTTCAGATTGCCACTGGTTTTTGTCCCTAATTGGTGGAGCATGGGGTCTTGTCTTTCTGTCCTTCAATTTTGAGAGTCTTGCCCCCAACCTCTCCTTAAACCTGCAACACTTCAGCTTGTAAACCTGCTGTCCCACTAAAGTTTGCCAGCCAACACTGCAACGTTTCTTAGCCATCACTATTCATATAATACAGGTGGTTCTTTGCTTAATGACAGTAACTGGAACCAGAATTTCCATCACTAAGTGATGCAGTTGTAAAGTGCACAGTCCCTGATTACATCGTTAAGCAAATCACCATGGACTGTTAAGCAAGGATCTCCTGTGACCCTAACTTCCTACTGGCTTCTCATTGATTTTGTTTATGGGAACTCAGCAGGGAAGATTGTAAATTGTGATCACGTGACCACAACACACTGCTATGATCCAGGCTGTCTGCCAGGTATCCAGATTATGAGCATGTGATTGCAAGAACTCTATGAGAAACGTGGAAGACCGGTCGTAAGTACCGTTCATTCAGTGCCATAACAAATTCACCATTGTACAGCAAACTACTCAGAAATTAGCATGAAATAATGTGGCTGAATAATATTCAATCTGAAGTGGAATTTTAAAGATGATGTTTCTGTCTCCTGTCTAGATTATCAACAGCCCCTCATGATAGGAACTGGGACAGTTACCCGGCAAGGATCTACTTTTAAACCAGTGGATACAGAGGATGAGAAAAAATGTCTCTCAGAAAACAGAAATCATTACAACTGCCCACAAAAAAGAAATCACCATGATTATGCACTGCCTTTGACTAATCAGGAACCAGAATATGCCACACCTATTGTAGAGCGATGCATGGGAACTGAAAATGGTTTTTCTTCAGATAATTGCTACAACATTCCTACCGTTTCCTCTTTTCCTTCTGGAACTTCTCTTGCCTTTTGCAAGGCAGATGGGAACAGTGGAGATTATAAAATACCACAAAACATTAAAGAATATGATAAACCTAAAAGTAGTATCTTGCCCGTGGTGGACTATAATATATGCTATCAAAAGCCCCAGGCCGAATCCCTCACAAATGAGGGCTATTCAACACCTAGATACAACCTCAAACCAATAAATCAGACTGCAGTGACAGCACTCTTATAATCCAGAACTCATGAAAAGCTGATGATCCAGGAAAAGGAAAGGACCTAAGGAAAACTGAATACTGACATCCGTGCAGAATTAAAGTGAGTAATGGGCTAATTTTCCTTCCTTCCTTCCACCATGAGAAGCCTTCAGAATGAAGTCTGCAAGCAGTGGATTCTCTACAGCTGAGTTGTTGGTGCTCCATCTTAATATTGTGCAATGTGTACATACAGTTTTAATTTAAAAAATAACTTAAAAGTACCTTTAATTTGTTGTCTCTCTGTTAATGAATGCACTGATTTCTAGGTGAGGCAGCATTTTAAATACAGATAATGCTCTTGGAAGTTCATATTTAGAATGGATGGTTAAGTAATTAAAAAAAGACATGTTTAAAAATTTTGCACTTCCCATACAACACAGATTTTGCCATAAGAAAGTGTTTTGCAATTTATGTATATTGTGTGATAGTAGTCCTTTTTAATTTATTCTTGATAAGTTACATGCAAGGTAAGGTACAGAATTTTCATAAGTAAAAAATATTCTTTTGCTCCTCTTAAGATTTCCATTGGTGCTGCCTACATATTATCAAGTGTGTATTCATTCACAAGTGGTAAGAATTAGAAAGCTTGTTTTTAAATGATGAAAGCTGAGATTCTCAGGGAATAGAATTAGACACAATTTTAGTGACATACTACATTCCTGTACTCCTTGAAAATCTCACAGGTCGTATAGTACTGTTAGCATCTAAAGATGAGTGGCATATATATTTGGACCAAATCTGCTTTGTTTTCCATTCTATTCTAAGCAAGATACGTTTATTTCTTCTTTGGGAAATAATGGAAAAAAATAAACTTCCTACCAAAGTTACGCAGACTGCTACCTTTGTTCTTTTTGGGGCAGGGAGAGAGGCCTTCAAGTCAGTTTTTTACTACTGGCAACTGCCTGGACGTGTCCGTGTAGTTTTCTTTGCGTGGTTTGGCCTTGTCTGCTTCTTGGGACTGAGAGTAATTGCTCAAGGTCACTCAGCTGGCCTTATGCTTAAGGCAGGATTAGAACTCATGGTCTCTTCGTTTTTAGTCTGATGTCTTAACCACAACACGAATCTGGCTCTCTCACCTTTATTCTTTTAGATTACCGTATATACTCGAGTATAAGTCGACCCGAGTATAAGCCGAGGGACCGATTTTCCCACAGAGAACTGGGAAAAATTGGTGACCCGCGCATAAGCCGAGGGGGCATTTTGGCTGTTCCTCCCTGGCCGCCGCCCCACCCCCGCCGCCCCACCCCCGCCNCCGCCGCCGCCGCCGCCGCTGACTCGAGTATAAGCCGAGGGGGGCATTTTTCAGCCCCAAAAATGGGCTGAAAAACTCGGCTTATACTCGAGTATATACGGTAGTTTTAATATTTTTTATTCTTTTTAATGTGAGTATTTTTACATATCTAATCTATAATGACAGAATGAACAGAAAGTAGTATTTTCAAATCTACTTTTGCAGATTAGCCTATACATCAAAGCTGCAATTCAGAGAATATACAAAGACATATTTATAAATCCCAGACCTATTTCTGAATAAATATACGAAAATGTGTGCTATACATTACTTTCAGGTGATAAAACCTGTATTTGGTGTGCAAAATGTTAGATTCAATTTCTTAGCAGCTGAAGCTAAAAAAAAGATTAATCTCCAGATTTGAATGGCAAAATGCAATTCAAGATGCATACATTAAACAGCTGTTTGGAACAACTTAAACCTTATGCATTTTTTGTCAAGAAGTCTTACAGCTGTGGAGTACAGTAACCTGCTTTCGGGTATTCTATTGATTCTATAGACGCTCCAAGCTCCAATCATATTTTGCTCTTCAGATCCAGATCTCTGGCCAGCCCTATAGATTACCAACCAGTGGTGTGATTCAAATATGTGAATAACTGGTTCTCTGTGTGGATGCCACTTCCGAAAATCCATTCTGGGCCTGGGCAACAAAAAATTAGCTACTGGTTCTGCCAAAGTGGTGCGAACTGTCTGAATCCCATCACTGACTACAACTATGACTAGGACAAATGATAATTTAACTGAGGAGAATCCAGCCCATGGGAATTAGCTAATGCCTCTGTTGGTGTGAACAGTGTAAATTGAATAGATCATGAATGTTGTTTGAAAACATGTTATAAATTTGGTTTCTCCTCCAAACCTTTGGGAAATATAATTTCCATAATGGTCAACTAGGATGGTGGGTTGGAGGATGTGCTACTGAATTGTACAGTATTATCCAGTCAAGAAATATTTCCATAAAACAACTACGATGTTTCCCTGAAAGTGAGACCCAGCCCGATAGTAAGCCCTAGTTTCATTTTTGGAGGTGGGCCTAACATAAGCCCTACCCCAAAACTAAGCCCTAGTTTTGGGGCCAGGCGCACCCCTAAAAATCAAGCTAGGGTGGGGGTAGGGGAGGTGAAGCTACCATCCATGCGCCTCGCATCCACTTACCAGTAGGACCACCACAGCCAGGCCTCCCACACCCCAACACCTGTCACACCACTGCTTGACTTCTGAAGCTGCTTGCCGCCTCTTGCAGCCAGATGCCATGCGATGCATTGCGCCATTGCCGTTGCTCACGGCAGGACGCCAAATGGTGCTTCAGACCGCTTCTGCTGCTCACACACTTCGGGCTGCTTCTGCTCGCATGCTTTGGGCTGCTTCTGCTGCTCATCCAGTGCTTCAGGCCGTTTCTGCTTCTCGCGGCAGGAGGTCATGTGGCACTTTGGGCCGTTTCCGCGGCTCCTGCTGCAAGAGCAGAAATGGCCCAAAGAGCCACGTGGCCTCCTGCTGCGAGTAGCAGAAGCAGCTCAAAGCGCTGCGCGAGCAGAAGCAACCCAAAGCACCATGCAGCGTCCTGCTGCAAGCAGCAGCAACGGTGCAATGCACCATATGGCATCCGGCCGCAAGTGGCAGCAAGCAGCCGTAGAAGTCAACCAGCAGCATGACAAGTGTCGGTGTGGGAGGCCTAGCACCCTCCAAAAGTAAGACCCGGTGTCTCTTTTGGAGGCAAAAAAAATATAAGACCGGGTCTTATTTTTGGGGAAACACGGGTAGATACAATGTAATGAGAAAATTTCAAGACAAAGCTAAGCCGTGGCCCATCTCTATTAATTCAGAGCACAGAGCAATTCTAATAAAGGAAAATTCAGAGCAGATGTAAATAACATTTGGTCTGCTGTAAGACGTCTTTGTTCAGCTAAATTGCTTTAAAATCTGATGTGGCGAGCATTCTCATGGCAGTTTATCTATAGAGGTATTTTATTTTTGGCCCATCATTTATGCAGCACTCTACAATCTTTGAAACTGTCCTCTGAAATAGTATTATTAGCTCAATGAAACTACACTGCTAATTTTTTTTACAGATTTCTGCATCATTTGTCTGAGTTACACTAAAACTATATTCAGTTAACACAATGGGGGAGGGGTAGAAAATTCAATAACTAAGACCATGGTGGAAAAAATACCCCTGTATGGCTGGACAATACGTAAGTGCCTCAGTAGTTTCCATATGCTGAAAGATGATCTTTTATTTCTTCCTTTTAGTGCAATCATAAAATATTCAGTGACCTACAACAGAATGACTGTGGACTAGATAGATAATCTTAAGTGCTTCTTATTCCAGTTCCCATTTTTAAAAAAGTTAATTGTTGTCTGCTGATGTACTTCTCTGAGAGACATAGTGACAAGAGCCCAAACATTGCTGATTAATAGCAAAGAATATGAAATATACCTCCTTTTTGGAAGTTAGACAAGAACAGCAAGAGTAGTTTTGGCAAAATCAAAAAACAAAACATGGCAAGTGTCATGTTGTGATAGGGCAGCTAACTAGTTCTGACAGGTTACAAATAAGCAGTGAGATAATTTGATTAAGAATTTATTTCTTGAGATTAAGTCCTATGCTTCAGAGTCTTTTGTTTTAGGTACATGCTTAACTCTAGGCCAGGGGTAGGCAACCTTGGCTCTTTTATGACTCGTGGACTTCAACTCCCAGAATTCCCATGCTGGCTCAGGAATTCTGGGAGTTGAAGTCCACGAGTCATAAAAGAGCCAAGGTTGCCTACCCCTGCTCTGAGCTTTGCTCTGGATTTTTTTATTTTTTTTTAATGAGTCAAAGTGTACTGGAAAATAAATGTTCCACCTGCACCATGATGTAGACAAAACCTTTCCCTCTCTTCCCCGCCACCCCAATTAGGAAAAAGATCACTGCTAAGCAGGGAATCAGTTGACCCTGAGCAACTACACTAAATAACTATACTTGAAGATGAGATAAAGCTTAACATAATCTCACGAGGAAGATGCTCTCGCTTCTACAGTTCAAGATACTTTAAGGGGAAATAATGTCTGAATTAATTTCTAGTATATTGTTAAAGTATATATAAACATGCTTTTTAATACAATCTTTACATATGCTACACCCAGTCTTCAGTAACTTATTCCCTCTCAGATCTGTATGTAACCTTGTAGGTTTTAACTTTCTCTTAATTGGGGAAATGGAGCAAACCTGAAATCCAATGTTTACTGCACAAGTGTTTTTTAATTTGTTTAATTAGAAATTCAAGTGTTTTCAGTTATAGTTGTTTTGAACTCTGAAGAAAATGTTGCTCAAAACCATTTATGGCCCAGAGATAACAATACAGTCAAAACAACTGCTCACAGGCACCAGATAATGCAGTGACTCCTGCCCATGCATTTTATTTAAGAAACAATCACTTCACTGTAATACATGGACAGTTTTTGTTGTTGTTCTTTGTAATTCACTGTATTACCTTCATGTAATGGTTAAGGTGCTGGCCTAGAAACCAGGAGATGGATTTGTAACTGCCTGACAAACCATACTCAACAAGTAGTCCTTAATGAATCCACACGGAAAGAAGTAAGCAGGGGATACCACAAGGTTCCATTTTAGGCCCAGTACTCTTCAATATCTTCATAAATTACTTAGATAAGGGAATAGAAAGGGAATTCATGTAATTTGAGGATGACACTAAGCTGGCAGGAATAGCAAATAACCCAGAAGACAAGCTCAGGATCCAAAAAGATCTTGACAGACTTGAACAAAGGGCCCTATCCAACAAAATGAAATTTTATGTGGAGAAAAGCCAAGTTTTACATCTGGGCAGGAAAAATCAAAGGTACAAGTACAGATTAGACAAGACCTGGCTCAAAAACAATAGCTGTGAGGGGGACCTTGGAGTCCTAGTGGACGATCACGTAAACATGAGTCAGCAGTGTGCAGCAGCAGCCCAAAAAGTTAATACAATCCGCGGTTGTATAAACAGAGGCATAGAATCAAAATCACGTGAAATATTAGTACCGCTTTATAAAGCCTTAATAAGACCACACCTGGAATGATGCATCCAGTTTTGGTCACATTACAAAAAAGATGTTAATTTTGGAAAAAGTGCAAAGAAAAGCAACTAAGATGATTAAAGGCCTGGAGACTAAAACATATGAAGAACGGTTGCAGGATTTGGGTTTGGTTAGTCTAGAGAAAAGAAGGACTAGGGCGGGTTTGATAGCAGTATTCCAATATTTGAGAGGTTGCCACAAAGGGGGGGTGTCAATTTATTTTCCAAAGCACCAGAAGGCAGGTCAAGAAACAATGGATAGAAACTAACCAAGGAGAGAAGCAATCTGGAATTAAGGAGAAACTTCCTAATAGTGACGATAATTAACCAGTGTTTGGGGAAAACAGGAGAAGGAAGATGTACCGTATTTTCCTGCGTATAAGACGACTGGGCGTATAAGACGACCCCCAACTTTTCCAGTTAAAATATAGAGTTTGAGCAAGAGAGAGGGGGAGGAGAG